CGCCAGCTGGCCAGTGGCCAGTCAGCTGATTTTATCTAGTTGTTAATAAAACCCTAAAAAAGGATAGCAAAAACCTCAATTCAGCATCATAGGTGGATGTTTGTGCTGAGATAGGGATGCCTGAACTCTCCAAGTTCCACACAGGCTTGGCTTTGAAGCTGTAGTAGACGGTAGGGATTAAGTTCACTGCTGGGGTGGCACCAGATTTGCCGCTCCCAGGCACCCCCAGCTCGGCAGAAAGTTCAGTAAATCTAAAGATGAAGGCCGCGTTCGATGTCTCCTCGGACGAAGAACATTCTACGCAGAATATTCTATTTTGCGTTCAAAGAAGCACACAGTCGGACGACGAGACCGGCCATTTTGTGCGCCACTTACGCAATGTGCGTCAGTTTTGAAAAAGGCCCAAGTTTACATTTCCATAGAGACCGCTCACAAATGTCAACAACATATGTACACAGCTGCTGCGCCGCTTTTGAAATACGCGCCATCATTGCCTCTCTGCCCACCGTAGTACGCTCAAAAGATTCTGCGCGGACGGCAAAGATTCTACGTGACGTCACGTAGAATCTTTGCCGTCCGTGCGACATCGAACGGCATTTTGGGCCCGGACGGCATAGAATCTTCGCCGTCCGGGAGACATCGAACGCGGGGGAAGTCAGAGCTGAGTAGGTAGATCCAAAGCATAATCTAACCAAACCAAACCTAACCTTACCTACTAACCTACTAACCTTCGACCTACGTACATTTCATACAACCTATATGCCTACAACCTACCAACCTACTACCTACCTACCAACCTACATATCACTCAGATAGCAGACTTCATAGTTCATCTTCACATATAGCCAAAGTTCCACATGTGCTCAGCGCTGCCTGTTTTGCCTTACCTACATCAATATTGAAATTCCTTGCTGGCATTTTCTGGCTCATCTCTGGGGAACTACTCAGACATTGGGAATTTGATCCATCAGAATCTGAGGATGCCACCAACCTGGCAGCCTTGAGCCTGGTAGGTCATAAAAAGAAGCTGACTGAAGTTCTGAACAGCACCCATGTTTATTCACATGTTCAGGCTAGCAGATTTGCAATGTTGTGAAAGAGAGATGGAAAGGAATGAGCAGGAGAGACAGGCACTGAGCTCTGGACACACCAAATGAAGTAGCCTTTCAGCTATTGTTTGGACTTTGGTGAGCTGAGATAGCTGGACTTAAGCATCTTTCATTAAGGGTGACAACTGACAAGTAGGTGACCTACAAATAAAACACCTTGTTGCTTTCACAGAAAAACAAATGTATATATATAAATTTTTACCAACAACAGGTCAAAACATCATGGCCATTGGCCTTCCATAGTTACACCTTTGTGTTGTTATGGTAGTTACTATAGTCTATAGGAAGAAAGTTTGAGCATTTCAGTTGCTACTTTTTAGCCTTTTAGTTGCAATAGGTGTGAAAAGAGCATGTTATTGACCATGCTTTACTGGTCATGGACCTCTGACAGTGTCAAACATAATCTGATACATATAGTTAGGGGCTAGGGCAATATTTGATGGCATTCTTTAATACAGTGTGGCCAAATTGGTTTAGCGTTAGGGGGAGGATGTATAAAAACAGTCGTATGAGGATGTCACTATTTAAAAAAAAAAATCGTCTTCAGTGTCATTTTAGGTGCAGTTTTTACAAGTTATGTGGAAAAACTATAGGTACCTGACGTCAAGCTCTGGTGGAAAGTAAAAAAAAAAAATCAAATATTGTCATCAAAGATGAAAAAACATTGCAAGCGCGAAAGTACGAGTATGACGGTGTGAATCGTACATTGGAACATTTTTAGTCTTTATTCCTTGACAAGGTATGCTTTCACAACAAAAACGTTGTGATGATGTAATTTTAAAATTTCTGAGGATGTCATTATACTTTTCATTGGGGGCGACTTTCCCCGCAACATCACCAATTTGGCCACACTGCTTTAATAAATCATAAGTGATTAGCAAAGGCTTCACAACCAAACATATTTTGACTATAATTAAGACGAAAAGTGCTTGGAAAAAGTCTTTGGATTGGCGAATTTTATTGTTATTAAGTTAATGTCTTTAATTAAAATATACATTTTTAGACAAATTATTTTGTTCAACCTTGCTGTATTCTATGTTTCGCCTTGCCGTACCAGTTTGAATGATTGTTTTCAGTGTCATTGGACGTCCTTCAGTGATTGTTGAATCATATTTTTAAGTGATGACGTGGATGGTCTTTAGATTGATAAAGTTGAACCCCAATAGAACTCTGAACAGGTGATCAAGTCCAATGTTGTTGCTAGTCTTACTGGCATTTTTAAGCTGTAAAGCAATGAGATGAATCATGAAATGTAAATATTTGCTTTTGTTGAGCAACGACATTATGCAAGCCACCATCAAAATAGAACACCGGAGTGGGTATGAGTATGAGTCGCTGCCAGTGTTGGCCCTGACCCGTACCATCCCTCCGACAACGACTGGACCCGTGCCCTCCGCTGCCAACAGCGGCCGGCATGTAAGCTCTGACCTGTGCCCTCCCCCGCCGACAGCGGCCGCCATGTACCAGCTGTCGCCGAGCAGTTCGGGCGGCGGCGGCAGCAGCCGCGAGCTCGACTCGTACATCGAGTCGCTGCGCTACCCCTTCTGCCACGACGTCTCCAAGTACGAGCGGATGGCCAAGATCGGCCAGGGCACCTTCGGCGAGGTGTTCAAGGCGCGCCTCAAGACGGACCGCTCGCGCATCGTGGCACTCAAAAAGGTGCTGATGGAGAACGAGAAGGAGGGTTTTCCGATCACGGCGCTGCGCGAGATCCGAATCCTGCAGCTGCTCAAGAACGAGAACGTGGTCTCGCTGCTGGAGATCTGCCGCGGCCCGGCCAACGCGGCCAACAAGCACCGCTCCACCTTCTACCTGGTGTTCGAGTTCTGCGAGCACGACCTGGCCGGCCTCCTCTCCAACATCAACGTCAAATTCAACCTGGGCGAGATCAAGAAGGTGATGCAGCAGCTGCTGAACGGACTCTACTACATCCATCAGAACAACATTCTGCACAGGGACATGAAGGCGGCCAACGTGCTCATCACCAAGAACGGCGTGCTGAAGCTGGCCGACTTTGGTCTGGCGCGCGCCTTCAGCAAGATCTCCGGGACGCGGAACCGCTACACGAACCGGGTGGTGACGCTGTGGTACCGGCCGCCGGAGCTGCTGCTCGGCGAGCGCAACTACGGCCCGCCGGTGGACGTCTGGGGCGCCGGCTGCATCATGGCCGAGATGTGGACGCGCTCGCCCATCATGCAGGGCAGCTCGGAGCAGCACCAGCTGACGCTCATCTCGCAGCTGTGTGGCTCCATCGGGCCGGACGTCTGGCAGGGCGTCGAGGAGCTCGACCTCTACAACAAGGTGCAGCTGCCCAAGCAGCAGAAACGCCGCGTCAAGGAGCGCCTGAAGCCCTACGTGCGCGACGCGTACGCTTGCGACCTCCTTGACAGGATGCTGACGCTGGACCCGGCTAAGCGGATCGACTCGGACACGGCGCTGAACCACGACTTCTTCTGGACGGACCCGATGCCGACCGAGCTGGGCCGCATGCTGGAGCAGCACAAGCAGAGCATGTTTGAGTTCCTGGCGCCGCCGCGGCGCGGTATGCCCGCCCGGCCGGCCGTGCAGCCGCAGCAGCAGCAGCGCGCCGTGGTCGACAACATCTCCAGCTACCAGGATCGCGTGTTCTGAGACTGAGCAGTGCTCCGCCGCCGTGCCAAGTGACTTACCTCTGGCTGGCCGCAGGGGCTGCCCTCTGGCGAGAGGAGGCAGCGCCGACCAGAGCCCAAACTGTGATAGGTGCGGCGCGTTAAGACGTCTTCAGCAGGCACATCACACGAACTGGGTGCTGTGCAGCTACATACAATCCACATGGCCCGTGAGTAGGCCATGCTTTGTTAATTGTGCTCTTCCAGGCACTGAATCTGATTTGTGTATTGTATAATAAAATGTATGTTGTAGTAGCATGATGTTTATCATTTCTGCTTATCGAGTGACAGCTTCTCTACAAGCAAAATTTAGATCGCTGAGACTACTTCATGCTCTGGACTGTTCATCGGCTACCTTTCTTGCCATACCGTGCACCCCCAACACCCTCGCTTGTCCCCTGCCGAAACTGAAAATGATCATTAATTCGACACTGAAGGTCACGATCATAATCCAACTAGTTCAATTTAGGTGTAAATGAGTGAAATCGCAGCAGTCATGGTGATCGGCTGTTTCTTTTTTCATCTATTCTATTTTTGCTTAATCATCCGCTTTTTGTGGAGTGTGGAGCACAAGCGGAAGCGATTTTTCTCGGTTGACGACCTCATGACTTGTTTGGTAAATGGTCTAGTTTGCACAAATGGTGCTATCTGATGAATTCAATGTTGCAGGCTTGTGGGAACGTCTTGTTGGGTAGAGGGTATCAACATCTGGAGTCGCTAAATACCAATTACATTCACTAACATCCATTTCATTTGCATTTACCACAAACTAGCTTATGATGGTGTCTGTTCATGGCATTACGGTGCAATTACCGTGCTCATTGTGTCAATGGTGTCTGCGTCACAGATCCCTAGCTGTAGCTATTCATTGTCCCCCTGGCCCACCGAAGTTCAGTCTGTGTGAACCCGTCATGTGGTCTTCGTTTGAGGGTGGGTTGCATCACTGGTGGCTCGGTGCTCGGTTAGAAATGTTCGCTTTTCAGTAGAGCTCAGACGGCGAATTTTGCCGCCCTGTGTTCGCTGTATAGGCGAGGACAAAGGAGAACAGTAGCGCTGTCTGGCTCGTATAGCCGGTCGAGCTGCGTTTTGTGCTGGTCTGAGTGATTTATTAGCTTCATTACGGTGCGCGCACTCGAGTCGCTATCGGCTCTAACTGCCCCTAATGGCGTCTGGTCGGCGATGGCAGCTGGCTGCATCCTGGAGCGGCGGGCAGTGTGTCACCTGTGGGCGTGGGGGCCGGACGATGGGCGTGCCACCGAGACCCAGCAGCGCCGTCTCCAAGTGGTGCGCCCAGGAGGTGGACCTGGGCTGTCCGGACGCGCCGGCGCCCGTCCGCCGACCGGCCACCACCATAGTGATCCGCAGCGGCCGGCTGGGGGAGCGCAGCCCGGCGGGCGCGGCGCGCACGGCCGTCTCGGTGGAGCGCCGCTCTGGGTCGGGCCGGCCGGCCGGCGCCGGTCCGCGGCCGCCGCTCTGGCGCCGGCTGCTGTCGCGGCGCGGCCTCCACCTGCAGCTGCAGCTGGTCTGGCTGCTGGTGGCGCTGCTCTGCGTGGCCGTGCTCATCGCCCAGATCGTAGACCGCATCCAGACGCTCGGAAACCCGCCGATCGGCACCGAGAGCCGGCGCGTCTACAACACCAGCATGTACTACCCGGCCGTCACCATCTGCCACATGGAGGGCTTCAAGCGCTCCGTGGTGAGTCGCTACAACCAGAGCTGGGACCGCAACTCGCGCGCGTTCCAGGCGCGCTGGTCGCGCTTCCCGTGGCAGTCGGCCACGCTGGAGCAGCTGTGGACAGAGGCCAGCTACTCGCCCCAGGAGACCATCATGACCTGCCAGCTGGGCGACGGCCGCAACGACGGCGTGTGCCCCGTCTGGGCCGGCCTGGCCGACGGGCTGCGCTCGTTCGAGCTGAGCTGGCAGCTGCAGCCGCTGTCGGGCGGCTGCACCACACTGCGGCCGCGCGCCGACCTCCACCCGCGGCCCGGCATCGAGACCGGCATCCAGCTGTACCTGCGCAGCGACCCGGACGAGTACGTCAGCCCCGGCATGGGTGTCGGCTGGACGGTGACCGTGCACGACCCCAAGTACAACTGGTCGGACCTGGCGCTCGGCTGGTACGACTCTCTGAGCGTGCTCACCGGTGACCGGGTGCAGGCCAAGCTGGAGGGCAGCTTCCACTCGTCGGTGCAGCGCCAGGACGCCTCCTGCGCCGACGTCAAGGACTACAACGTCGCCTCGTGCCACTACAACTGCATCGCCGACCGGCTGGAGGCCAAGTACGGCTGCCGGCCGCCGTGGATCGCCGGCGCCCAGCCGCTCTGCAACGACTCGGCCAGCTTCGAGCCGCTGCTGAGCAGCGTGGTGCGCCGCGAGGACTCGCTCTACAGCGAGTGCCTGGCGCGCTGCATCCGACCGTGCGACAACAACTTCTACAGCCTGTACGTGATGTCGGTGAGCGGCGCGGCCGAGCTGCTGGCCAACAACATCAGCCAGGTGCAGATCTACTACCCGACCGGCCTGACGGCGCGCGCCGCCCAGTACCGCGCCTACAGCGGCATCCAGTTCCTGGCCGACGTCGGCGGCCTGCTGGGACTCCTGCTCGGCGTCTCCGTCCTCTCCACCGCCCAGGTGATCAAGGACGGCTGCCTGTGGGCGGCGCGCCGCTACTGGCGGCTCGAGGAGGAGGACGACCAGTGGGACGAGGAGGCGCACGAGCTGGTGGCCGCCGCCAGCTGCGGCATCGCCGGACAGACCGCCAAACGCTAGGAAGCGGCGAACGAAACGCACGGCCCGCCACAAGCTAGGGAGCAGCGAGCGAGGCGGACGGCCCGCCACAAGCTAGGGAGCAGCGAACGAAACGCACGGCCCGCCACAAGCTAGGGAGCAGCGAGCGAGGCGGACGGCCCTTCTAATGCCAGGGAGAGGTGGGCGAGAGGACATCTGTCCCCCCATGTTAGGGAAAGAGGTGCAAATTGGCACAGTGGCGAATCTATTACGTGTTTACTACAATTAACGTGTTTGTCGAAGTTAACGACTGGGATGCATTCAATATCCGTTACCCACTTACAATAAGGAACATTTATTTGTTCTTTTAGTAAAGCAGATGAGTGGCATTTGTTAATTCAGTTAATATCCGCAAAGTTTGCGCCTCACTGGATTTCTTGTTTCATACTTATTACTTACTTCATGCAAATAGCTGTTCGAATCTATTCGTGAAACTTAAAGGTACGTAGTTAGTACGTACGATGGACACAGTAACGATTCCATCACATTAGTTCACAAAGATGCATAATTCTTCTATTTAGGCGATGCATTCAATAAACTGGCTACGACTACGAGTATACTTTAGAAAAGAAATGCTTCACAATATGGACGTCGGACGAACGCCGATTCATGACTGAAGTGTTCTCGATTTCGTGTGTTCCATCGGGTAAGGCGGCTTAAATTAGGTATATAGCGGCATGGATGCCATGCATGGCCCTGGTTATGGTTAACTTAAAATATGGCCCATAGATGTCGCTCGTTGAGAACGCCTGATGTTACACTGTACCGCAGTACTTGCAGTATATACAACTTAGACGTTACGAACGTATTTAACTTCAAAGCTATTTCAGATGATGTGATACGTATAATTAATTCATTATTTTTATCAAGGATGGGATAGATAACACACAAAGATGTAATAAAATTGCCGTTTATTTCTTCCAAATGCATATAAATGAAGCTATTTTGATTTCCTAGCAGCTTGCTTTCATCAATTTATTTCCTTGACGCCAGCTCTGGCGCGCTAAAGACAAAATAAGCGTGGCTGGTTGTCGTGGTGGCGGCTGCGGTTCGCGGTTGTTGGAGGGGTTGGCGTCGTTCCAAGGGGGTTTTATTATTGATTATTCATGAATCAATTTAAACTCTAAAAGCGAGGTCCGACCACATATAAGGCATCAGCATGGGCTACATGTCAGTGATTTGCTGTGGAGAAGTCGGCAATGCAGCATTCATTGGCTGTGGAGGAGAGGTCAAGTTATTGAATGACTGGTAAGTTGGGATCAAGATGCATTGCGATATTTTGAATGTTGAAATGAAGTTAAGTTTTGTGCAGTTAAGCTGTTCTCATTTTGATATTGGCTAGTTAACACGCTGGTATCAGACTCATATGTAAAATGCTGTGGCATGGCCCAAACTAAATGAGTTTGAGTTTTGCTTTGGTCTGGGTACGCGACCTTGTGTGCAACGCTAAGCCATACATAGTGATAGTCAGACTATCTAACGCTAAGCCATACATAGTGATAGTCAGACTATCACTGCATGATAGTCTGTTACTATGGAATTAAGTAATATCTCAACTGGGACAGTTGGTAACTGTGTCCGATTGTCATGTAATGCAGGGGTTGGGAGCTTACATACATACAACTATCAAGATGCCTTAACATGCAAAAGAATTTTTGATTTGTGATTAAGCTATCCACTGTATATCTTTTTTAAGATACTGCACAGTGCACAACTTGTAAAATGTAATAGGTACTTCTTATTCCCTATTATAGACCAGTTCTTATGATATACATCTGTGGCCTTTACATTAATTTGTGTTGTGGAAGGTGTCTTACAGCTGTGTCAGTGTGTGTGTGTAATGTGACAGTAAGTTGTAACCGTATCTGTTTAACTTCCAGTGGTGAGTTGAAGAGATTCACATTCCCCCCTGTGACTACTGCAAAACACCCAACCAAGGCCAATGGAGAGGAGGCAGGAGATGAGCCACAGGAAAGGTGAGTACCTACGCTGCTGCTGACTCAGCTGATTCATTTGTGTTTCATGCAACAAATTAAATAATGATGAGGAACTTTGCAGATGCAAGACATTTCAGATGAAACCATACAATACAGACCTTTTTATCAACCTGTCTAGATGTAGATCATTGTATCAATAGGACAGTCTGGCTCATCTAAGACTTGATGCCTAGATCAAGATGTGTTGGTAGTTTGGCTCATATTGCACCTGGTTAGTCTGATAATGAACTTGTCCACTTGACAAAATGCAACGGATATGCTGGACCATATCTATGTACCTACATGTAAATATGTCATGCTATTTTAATATTTTCCCCTGGGAGCTCATAGTTTGTAGCTCAGACACAGACAGTTAGGGTCAATGTAAGGCCTGCAGTCTGCACATCATCTTTTACATTGTGTTTTAAGCTTACATATATTTATTGTCACAACATCATTTTTGTGTTGTTGACTGTGTGCTAAACACACCAAGTGTAGCATTCGTCCCATATAGCGCCGTTTGTCGCCCTCCGCTCTCTCAGAGACGAGCAGTCGTCGGGCCGCGTGCTGGGCGTCTGTGTTTCCCCGTCCGGGCGCCTGGTGGCAGCACTGAATGACCACAAGACGGCGTGCGTGTGGCGGGCCGAGGACGGCGGCCGGCTGGCCTCGTGGCAGACGACGCGCAAGGGCAGCTGCCTGACCTTCTCCCGCGACGAGCAGGCGCTCCTGGTGGCCGGTCAGTCAGAGAGACAGACACAGACAGTCGGGTCAAATTAATCCACCATCTGATGAAAACGAATTAATAGATGTTGATGGTCTATTTAGAGGAACACGTTTCTATTTTAATTTTCGACATATCAATGTTTCTTTGTTGCTGTTACGTTTTTTCATACAAACATGTCAAATATGAGTTATATCAATCTTGCAAAGTGCTGCGTTAAGTATCTGGTTGGAGTTCATTGATTATGTGAGAGTTCCTTACTGGCGAATGTGCTCAACATGATCCTTCAATGTCGTTTCCCTTCCATCATTTCACTCGTCTCATACACAGCTGGATGAATGGTCGCTTTGCGTTTTCTAAGGCTGTTTCACTGTTTTCAGATAAGTCTGGAGACGTTTACAAGTGCCAGCTGGGTGAGCCAGAGACAAAACCGCAGCTCATCCTAGGACACATCTGCATGGTTCTAGATATGGTATGAGGAGTTCAGTTTTGAATTTTATGCTGTGTTTGATATTTCTCTCACTGCAGTATGTGTCTTCTATCTGGCAACTTTTGACCTGTGGCCTTTCCTTGGTGTATCTACAAACAACCTACACCTGTTGGCCTGGGCCTCCCTCTGTGTGTGACCTATCTCCCTATACTTTGTGACCTTTGACCTCTCACAATATGTGTGTTTGACCTGCTGACCCTCCCCTCAGTGTGTGACTGGTAACGGCCGCCACCTGCTGACCTGTGACCTCTGACTGCTGACATCTGACCTCTGACCCTCCCCAGTGTGTGACCGGTGACGGCCGACACCTGCTGACCAGTGACCTGTGACCTCTGACTGCTGACCTGTGACCTCTGGGCTCTGACATCTGACCTCTGACCCTCCCCTCAGTGTGTGACCGGTGACGGCCGCCACCTGCTGACCTGTGACCTCTGACTGCTGACCTCTGACATCTGACCTCTGACCCTCCCCAGTGTGTGACCGGTGACGGCCGACACCTGCTGACTTGTGACCTGTAACCTCTGGGCTCTGACATCTGACCTCTGACCCTCCCCTCAGTGTGTGACCGGTGACGGCCGGCACCTGCTGACCTCGGACCGCGATGAGAAGGTGCGCGTCACCCGCTACCCCAACACGTGGTCGATCGCCGCCTACTGCCTGGGGCACACCGAGTTCGTGTCGGCGCTGTGCCTGACGGCGGCCGGCCGGCTGGTCACCGGCGGCGGGGTGAGTGGAGCGTCCTCTCTCCCGGGGGCGGGGTGAGTGGAGCGTCCTCTCTCCGGGGTGGGGAGAGGTGGTGCGGGTAGGGAGGGGGCTGGGGTTCTCAGGAGGAGTGGGCGCTGGAGAGCGAGTCTGGTGGAACGATGCTGCTGAGTTAGTGTTGGTGGCAAAGCTAACAGAATAGAAAATGCTACGAAATGGTGCCAGTATGTGCATCTCCTCTATGAATTGGCTTATAGTGTAACACAATATAGTCTGTAGATACAAATGCCATTTATAGGTAGGTTAGGACGTTTTTCGATTAGTTCTCATTTTTAGAATCTGAACTATGCTAGCTGTTTGCTCTTGATACCTGACACGCATATCATTATCGTCGAATGTTACATAACGTGTTTACTGTTATCGCTTCTGTATTATCATGACCCATAAAGTAAACTGCGCACGGCACTGTAGCCGAACTATTTATGTGTCGAATGTTTGCTCTGATATTAATATGAAAGTAATCGGGTACTGCCAGTGTACCAGATCAACGCTATCGCTATCACACGATCGGCGTGCGTTGTTGCTGGCCAACCTGCAATATTTTCGTCGTCCGCAGAGATATCGAACCGCTCTCTGTGTTTTACTCGGTTGATACGTTACCCGGGGGCCAATACAAGACGGGGCGGGCAAGCATGTGTATTAGGTCTTATGATGCTGATTTTTGTGCTTTTTCAGGATATGACCGTTCGTCTTTGGGACCCGGAGTCAGGTCGCCAGCTGGCGTGCTGTCCAGTGACGGCTGAGGGAAGTGATAGTTCAAATAGCGAGCAAAAGGTGGCGGTGGTGTCGATCGTCGCTGTCCAGGCCGGGGAGGACAGTCTGCTCGTCGTTCGGGTTCACAGGTATGTGTCGGCTGCACCATCACTGACCGGGCCGCTGGTGTTGTCATCTGTCCTCACTGTTGATATGGGGTTACCGTATGGGGTAGGTACCGTACAGAAAATATTACCTCGGGTTAGTGTTGAAGTTGGTCATGGCTCAGCCAAGCTCAGGCGGATTGTTTTTGTTGCCGGGACACGACTATGCATTTTTTGGTCACCAGCCTTTACATCTCGTCCAAAACCTCGTGGGTTATTAGAAACCAGGTCTTTGGATAAGCATTTGAGCATGCTTGGCAGTTGGCTATATCGGTGACCATACCACCAGCAGTATTTCACGGTATCGTAGTCTTGGCGGACCCGCGCTAGTCCACCAATGAAATATGGCCCCGAGGTCGGCCGGTCGCGACACGGCGACAATATAGCTACCAAACGAGCGCCGAAATGGCCCGGCCATCCCCTATCGCCGGCGGTCACTGGCCGCTGGAGGTGTGAATCATTGAGATAACCCGCTACCGAACTGTCGCCCCACTATTGATGGCTCACAGATATAGGCCGGGCTGACCGATCGGGAAGCGGTGTGTTGTTCGGAAAGGTGTGAATCAATGCCCCGCCACCCACGTCTGGTGTATGTTTAGCTCAGACGGGATAAGTGGAGCGTACATTCCGCGTTATAGGTGAGCGCAAACAGGCGAGTCTGTTCCGCCGGCGGCTGTTTGTCCCGGCTCTCAGAATGTAGGTAGCGGGGAACGAAACATTTCTCATATTTACTGCAACGCGGCTCTTAGAGTAGTTTACTTACGTCTAGGACTCTAGAGCTCGCTTCTTTATTGAGAGAATTCTTTCTGATGTATTTTATTTCACATTTCTAGGCACGACGCTACTCTTTAGGTGTCTCCTGGGTAGCATATTGAATCTCAGATCTCGGGTATCACAATATCATAAGTCAGTTCTCCGAGAACGGATAAAAGCTCGTTTTTTTCCGCGCTGCCCGCCGGTTCTCTAGTAAGGGGCTGCTTTGACGTCGGTGCAGACCGGTATCGCCCGGCCTGCGCTGATGGCGTCAAACAAACCAATCAGTCTCTGGGGCTGAACCCGGGGCGCCCTCATTTGTCGCTGCTCGCCGGCCGAGCGCTGACGCCACGGCGGCTCCCGTGACGCACTGATGTGGGTGATGGCGTCTCGCGCGCTCTCCGTCTGACGTCAGCGCCGCCGTCACCTCATTGTCTTCTGTGGGCGGCCGAGCGGTGGTGATGTATGGCCGATCTGCGCCGCTCCCGGCGGTACAGCGCGGCTCATTTGTGAGCGGGTAATGCGGCGAGGGGACGCGCTCGGCCGGGATATTGCGTCACGGAGTGTGAGTGGCGAGTGATGAGCAGAGAATACCCGATACGCGTCCCGCCGATCGGGGGTAACACGCAGAGAAATGACGTGCAGCGCAGCGTCGTCGGGGGTTTTAGGGGCGCGTTCCGGCGGCAGAGTGGCTGCTCAGTGCTCTGTCTGGTGCGCCGTCCCAGGTCGGTGGTGGAGGATCTGCTCTGACCCGGGTCCTGCGCTGTGCGGGGGACATACACCGCTCCCCCGGGTCCGCTAAGACGTGTGAGTGTCTCGGGGACACCGTGTCACAGCGCCAGTGCCGCGCCGGGCCGCTGTATAAAACAGGCGAGCTGCGGGGCCGCCCTCGCAGCGCCGCGGACCCGGCCGGCGGCACACCGAGCGACATTGACATTCACCGGAGCCGGCGCCGACGAGCCTGTTGAAGGCAGGTCGCTCGGGGCCAGCAAACGGTCATTATCGTATTCAGCGGCTGCCTCGGTCGGTGCTCCAATATAGATGCAAATCCATGTCGCCGCCGCGACAGACAGATACAAGAGCGAGTGGAAACTGCACGGAACCAGTGGGAACTCCACGGGGGCAGAGTGGAAACTCGCCCGGTCGGCGGGCGAAAACGGATGTGCTGCGACAATAAGCACGCCGAGCACGAGTTGTGGCCCGGTTACGACAGCAATATTCTGCTCGACAAATGGCCACTCTCACTGGCCGCCGTTTGTCACCGTTCTGCGGCCGAGGGATTCGATGTTCGTCCGGGCGGGGTGGCGACCGGCGGCTGCGCGCTTCGCTCCAGGGCTGTGGTCGCGGTCATTGTCATATGCTCGTATGGGGAATCAGTGCCAGCGAGCGGTAACGAGAAAGGAGTCAGCCACCTTTATTTGACGTGCCACGCTGTAAACATTTCCGGTGCAGGAAAGTTGTTTGTTGGAATGTGTCGGGTTTTAGGCGCCCGACCAAAACAGCCAGCGTGGTACCGACGAGTCGATCAGTGACGGCCGGGCGGGCCAAAGTCAGTCAGTCGCGTACCGACGAGTCGATCAGTGATGGCCGGACCAAAGTCAGTCAGTCGCGTATTGATCGGCTGGGACAGGACCGCATGACTCGTGATTCAGTGATGGGGCTCGCCGGCCGGGCCGTTAATATGCGAGCGGCGGCTGATGTTTCAATCGCTGCCCGCGGCGCTTACAAATACTGCTACGGCATCGATCGATAAGCGGCAGCTCAATATGAAAATGCCACCGGTAATGAACATATGTACGTGAGTCGTGCCAGAGAGATTATGACGGACTACAAATGGGGTCTTTACTATTTTATGTGAACGATATGTGGAACTATTCGATGATTTCCATTAGGGAAGCGGCTTGCTCGACTGATGGTTCGCGGTAGATCTGAATATTTCTTTGGACACTGTGTATTGTGTAAGAATCAAAACGTATGCCAACGTCAACAGTGTGGTTTTGAAGCTTTAGACGTGTGTCGATGAGTGTATGCAACTCCCACTAATCGAATGCTTATCATGGCTGACCTACAATATTATAGCTGTGTCGTTTATATGTATATCATAATTATGCGGATGAAACGGTGCTGTTCAGTTATTGCCGTAAGGTACTGAATAGTAAATACTAAAGACCAATTTCTGCGTTGATGCACATTTTAGCACGGTAGAGCGCGCTACAGAGTCCTTGCTGTGCTCATTATCTTATATTACGTGCTTTCACAATCTGCTAGTGGGACATTTTTTCGTGACGTAATTGGAATTAATTAGTGCACCATTTCTACGTCACTACATCATCTTACGCTAAACGACACCTTAGAACAGCTAATGTGTTTTTACTTCGCCGGGTCATTTTCCAAAGGCGTCGCAATTTCCCAGATTAATTATTAATCTGTGCGGCCGTAAGTGAATTGCTGATGGCGGTGCAATACCATTATGTGCCACCGTGACGTCTGAGCTACTGCCGGCCTGAGCGTTTTGTCGTCAGAGGGGCCTTTCTGGGACGTCAGGGCGACCGCGGGCGATTTGGGGCGCCACAATGCCGAGTAGGAACTAGGGCCCTGTCCTATCTGTGCCCCACCCTGGTCTGGGAATCTACCTTCTGCGTATGATGTCCCAGGCACGGCTCGGGTTTGGTCGGTATGATTGGCTACCTGACCAGGCGGATGCATTAGTATTTGTCGACAAAATCGACATTCTTTGCTGCCTCAGACGTGTGATGGCACCCATGAAGGATAATGCCGGCATTGTTTGATAAGGGCCCACTCCAACCAGTAAACTCACTGCGACAACAAAGATGGATATGGATGAGTGGACGCAAACATCTTTTCGGGTGGCGCAGGCGGCCCAACTTATGCTATCAACTCTCATTCACGGTGCTGTGTGTCGGCTTCTGATCAGTTCGTTTGACTTGAATGACGGTATAGCCGACCGTTTAGCTCTTCTGTCCACTCATTTGTCTGGCTCTGCGCCCATGACTAGCCGAGTTGGTTCGTTCCTCTGATGGCGGTTGGTTGGTTTTTGTGGCCGTCAGCCGGCTGATGTGGCTCTGTCGGACGGTGTATCCCGTCGTCGTTCCGTTCCGGCCGGTGTTCCGGTGATCCTTCCGGTGAGAAAGGTCAGTCGCGGCGCCCGCCCCGCCGATCCGCCCGGCGATGGACGGCGCGAGCCGGCGGCTCCCGGCTCAGAGCGGCTCTGCCGCTGTCCAACAGCGCGCTCGTTTGTCGCTGCTGATGGACTCAGCGGCTCGCCGAACAGACCGCGCGGACCGCTCACGTACCGGCGCAGAGTCTGCCGCGGCGCCGGGCTGCGAGCGATCCGTCCAGTGGGGCTGAGCAGTCGTTCGGTCCATCTCGGGTCAGCTCCAGGTCGATCGGTCGGGTCGAGTCGGGTCGGGTCTCGCGGTACCCGGTCCGCCGCTGACCACTGGCGGCAGGACAGAGCCGATTCGTCGCTCCGCTCGCCCGTTCAGGCCGGCCGGCATGCGTGGCTAATGTACGCCATAAACTGGAGCTGGCTCGTAACCTATGGACGCGCCCGTAATGGGGCGATAGTTTTCAGCTGAAATACGTGCCGCCAATGCACCCGCGGGATTATTCAATTGCTGTGTTCGTGCTAAATTGCCGCTCTATGGGATCATATATTTTAATCTGTCTAGCTTCTCAATTGCGCGTGGCCCGAGGTGATGTATTGCGCAGTAGGTTTAACGGTATGCGTGATGTCCCCTAAGGAGCTATTTAGCTCATCTCTTGTTTTCCTTCCATAGAGAAGGAGTGCTTTGCAGCACAGCGCGAACCGGTTATATTGTTTCGTGGAGCTTCGAGGAAAATGTGGTGCGCTATCCCGAGGGTAGACTAACCGAGGAAGAGATGCATATTTATTTGGGATGCATATTTATTTGAGATACATATTTTTTTGTATATTTGATCCTCACTAATGACTTCTGTTTCCGCGGACCTAGCATCCGTTTCAGGTTCTACGGAACAGTGTATGTAGCTCCGTTGGTCCGTGTCGTCGGCTGGGTCGTCTGGTTACCACTGCTCTATGAACATTGAACAGGCATCTGAGGTCGGCTTTGACGGGTCGGCTCGCGGTCAGACGCTGTTTTTTATGCTGCCGGTGTCCCCGAAACTACTCCGGGCACATCTGCATCATTGAATCGAAACTCTGAGACCTCCGGGTCGGAAATTGAACGTGGGTGGTAGTGTAACACGGTTCTTTTGAATTATGCTGAAGTTTTCTCGCTAGGGTTGTTTTTGAGCCATTCCGTAATTTACCTTGACCCAATGCAGCTCGACCCTTGAACTCGAGCTAGTCACTCGGTCGTTGCAGAGATCGCTGAGCACCGTGCTCCCCGCCCATCTAACGGAACACCGTGTTACCCCGTCCATCTGCCGAAGCACCTGTCCTGTCCCTCCACCCGCTGGAACACCGTGCCCCCCCCCCCCCTCCACCCGTCCATCCGTTGGAGCACTGTGCTTCCCCGTCCATCCGTTTGAACACACTGATCCCGTGTCCTTGAGTCGGAGCACCGCGTGTTCCGGCTCCGTTGGAGGTGGTGTGGCGATAGTGGCGCTTCGCGCAGCGTTTCCCGGATAGAGAATCTCTGAGCGGCCGGCGCGTGTCCTATACCGCGCCTGGTGTCGGGGGTCCAGCGGAGTGCGGGCGATATCAATGTGATTTCTCACGTTACATTAGCATTAGTTCTCTTCCCTGGTTGATGTTGGCAGAAACTTATGGAATAGGGAAATGTAATTTCCGGTTACAGGACTCTGACCTGGCTCTGGCACTGGTTGAAATAATCTTTTTCGTTTTGCTTTCGTAGTTCCATTTTAGCAATCCAACTTAGTTCTTGAGAGCAGCATTCAATCTGCTGCTGTAAACATCTCTCTGATGTTGTCAGTATTTCATGCAGTCATGCTGTTGTTTCGCTTTGTGCGTTGCCGTTGGTATTCTATCCAGATGCGTCACAGCACATAGGCCCGTTCCTTATAATCAGTTAATGTCACTGTTGTCACTTTTACAAAGCAAAAGCAAAACTCGCACGCCTTTCAGCCGGACGTTCTTACGGACCCGCACCAGACCGCCATGGTTGTATTTCTACGGCGGTGGTCGGGTCCGGGAGATACCGGCTGTCGTAGCTGCTTTATACGTGCAAGCAATTTATGAGGCACCTTCTGCTCGTCCTGAATTATCACAGTCACATGATTAACGCCATGGTTAGTGGGAATTTGGGCGGCTTAGCTGCGAAAATTAACTATAAATCTGTCCTGAGTGTTTGAGAAGCGTTATTTCATTTGGCTGGCGAAATTAAGCCGGCGTTCCGGGCGAGAGCATGCGCTGCCGTCCTACACGCTAAGCAAACTGGCGCCCCGGCCGGGATCCGCGGCCCGCCGGTGTCTCTCCGTGCCTCTGGAAAGGAGTGGTGATCGGCAACGGATACAGCCTCCTCGCACCGTCGTAGGTCATGCTGCATGTCGTACATCTACATAATGTGGCAGACATTTGTGTAGAGTGTATTTCGTATCACTAAATAACGTAACGTACTGGCCGATCTCCAGACAGGCTCCTCACCAGATACTATAACCTTTACACACCATCATCGGTTCAATAAATGCATAATCCATATTCACTGTCTTCACATACATCATTTATAATCTTATACTCTGCTGGCTGTCTTGTTCACTCAGGGAATAAATAGTGCTGACATAAAAGAAACGTCGGTAATCATGCGCGAGCTGTAGCAAAGACAGGGAAGTCAAGAAGAGATATCACATGCCTGTGCCGCTTCACTCGGGGGTTGACGTGGCTGGCGGCGGACGCCGGCTCGGCGGGCTTGTGTTGGCACCGCCACTATTTGCTATTCGTGTTGGGTTGCAGTTTGTTGGGCTGTTAGACGGCTGCGCCCTGGCGTTTTCTGCGATTCCTGCCCTGAATTATTTCCCACAGTCGGGTAGTGCCAGCCTACTAAAAAACAGCCGGAGCGTACCGCTTGCGCTCCTTTACGCGGGCGCCGCGCTGCCAGGCGTCACGTCACGTCAGCTCCGTCACGGTGGGAGTGACGTCGTCACGTCGCTGGTGCATCTGTGGGGCGCGGGCACGGCCCATCAAACCCGGCGGCGGCGTCTCAATGTTGTGACAGGTGTCGAGACCGGGGACGGACGACCGGAGAGGCGTGATTAGTCATCAGTCGCAGAAGCTATGGACGGCTTAGTCGGTCTTCGGTCGGGGCCATCAGACGGGTTAGTCATCAGTCTATGGACGGGTTAGTTTGTCGTCCGTCGCGGCCAATATAGTCAGCTTGGCTGGTTTGTCGGTGACGTCGTCGGCCTTCCGGCTGTCTGCGGGGGCCGGCCGCAGTTTGGTCACGGCCTGGCAGCGGCCGGCGCGTCAGGCTGGAGGAGTATTAGGGTCGGTTGAGCCGCGCGCCGGCCGCGGACTAAGTCGGTCGGACGGGTGCCGTGTCGGTGGTCCGGGTCACGGCGGCGGTACGCCGCGTGGCGCCCCTCCGGCGGCCGTGTAATCGGTATTGATGTTGTCCTGTCCAGCCGGGGACGTTACGCGGTGGGTCTGGGGGTAATCGCGGGACCCAGCTGTCAGTGGTGTCCGCGGCAGCGACGGGAGTCAATACCGCCAGAGGGGAGCGTATCGACTGCTTCTGTTACACGGTGACTGCATCCACTGTCCAGTCCTGCTGGCGTACTGCGCAACCGACGGCAGCGGGGAATGCGCGGCCCCGTGGAAGGGTTGTCCAATTCGTGTGATGATAAGACCCTAATGCAAAGTCTAGTTATGTCGTTATGTTTGCAATGCGTCGTTTCCTGTCGTTAACACCTGTTCCTCATTCCGACGACAGGTGTTATTCGTCACGGCTACACGGGGGGAGTGTCGTAGTAGTCCGTAATGTTTAATGTCGTCGTGCTGGCGGCCTGTTGCTGTGTTGAGTGTCCAAGGTCAGTATTGATGTACTGAATGTCACATGCTTGATGTACTGCGTTGCAAGCTTCCTTAGTGCAGCTGGCAGTACGTTATGAAACATTGAAACATTGCAAACGATCGATTTCGATTGTTTTAGGACTGCTCGGGGGTTTGACTTCGATCTGTGAGTGATCCGCGAGTTCCCTTTTGGGCTGCTAAGCAGTGGAGAGTGTTAGCGACTTGTCTGACCAACTTCTCGGCAGGGTTGGCAGGGGGTGGCAAAAACTGGTTTTTGCCAGTGGTTTTAACCGGTTTAAACCGGCTGGCAGAAACCCCGGTGGCAAAAACTGGCAAAAACTGGATTAAACTCAGGTGGGCCAAACCACAACTTTTCTAGTTAGGAATGGATCTGAAATGTACAAATGCATTTCTTGATGTTATAGAGATGCACCAAACATTCTGAAGTTTGCCTCATTACTTATCCCTGCTTAAAATGTCTATGCATGTCAGTAGGCATCCACCACAGAATGTATTTCCATGTAGGGGAGTGGGGCAAGGCTGCCACGGTAGGGTGCAGTGCGCATATCAGTGGCAGATACCCCTTCGCACTTCTGATTGTGCAGGACTCACTCTTGCACTGGCTCATTTGTCACCCCCAAAAGGCGCCTTATGGAAAGCCCATGAAAATGTTTTTGAGTTATAGAACACTTCAACGGTCAATGTCACTTCTGGTTGAAAGCATAAAGCTTTCACCGAATTCTCCTAAAAATGTTTCATCTTTAAATCCATGTCTAGGCATATCATTGTGCTGGTTTTTAGTTTTTGCCAGTTTTTGCCACTTTTTGCCGGTTAAAACCGGTTTAAACCGGCAAATGGCATAAACTAGTTTTTGCCGGCAAAAATGCCAACCCTGCTTCTCGGCCAGTTCTGGCGGTGCCGACTCCGCCGGTGTGTGCAGAACTGCGGCGCCGACCCGGGCCGATAGCCGGGACGGCCCACAAAGCTCGGCTCCCGGTCACAGCGCGCCACGGCTCTCCGTTATTGGGGCCAGTCACGTGCGCCACTTGCTCACCGCCGCAGGATGTGCTACGCCTCATCTGCCGCGCGCTGCCGAACCGCGCGCCGGCGGCGGCAGTCACTGGCGGCTCCAGCGCCGTGGTCCATCTGTATTCTGTACTGACCGGACCCCGCGCTGAGTTAGGACCACCACTGACTGCCCCGCTCCTCCGGCAGCTGGAGCCGCCTGGTGGTGCTCTCCGTCTCCTGCGACTCTCTGACGCCCCGGCCGGACCTGGAGGGCGCCCTCCGACAGCCGGCGGCGCCCTGGGCGGTGGCCGCCGCCGCCGACCGGCTGCTGGTGCTGCGACCCGACCCAGAGGCGCCGCTGGTCGAGTACCGCGCCGCCGCCGACGGTCGGCTGACCCTACAGCCAGCCGGAGCGCGCGCCACTGCCGCCGCCCGGCTCTGTACCGAGCTCAAAGGTGGGTGTCGCGCGGCCGTGTCTGTCACCGTTAGCGTCACCGGATGGCGCGGGGACGGACGGAGCCGCGTTTGATGTGGTGATGGGTGCGCGGGTGTGACGACCGCTGCCGGCGCCGGCTCGGAATGGAATGAGGGCCGGACGGTCTGGGACGCGCGCCACGTGCCGCCGCACGGCTAATGGGGAGCTAAGAGGCTGTTTGGCGGTCTGCTCACTGTCCAGGTGTCAGGACAATCCCCAGGTGGACTGACGAATGTTGAACATTTGGAATTATGTTGGCATGATAATGAATTGATGTTTGTGAACTGCTGGTTATCACGGTTGCTGTATCCGCGGACTGCGTATGGTTGTCTTTAATTGCTATTCTTGTGAAGCATTTATGATTGATGGGGTTATCATAACTACCGTGCAGACTGTCCCTGGTCTTTATGACATTGTTGAATCTTGCCTCAGCTGACAATACCTTCACCTTCTCAACATCAGTCAGTCGTGTAGCGCAATGTGTCGTGTCCTCACAAATCCGTTATGTGTGCTCACAGAGACGTTCGAAGTTCCCGAGGAGGTCACCTGGCTGTTCAAACAGTGGTTCGACAACGTCGCCGACTACAAGAGCAAAAAGGAAGAACGACTGAGGGGCGAGAAGAAAACGAAGACGTCGGAAGAGAGCTCACCGAAGAGACTAAAAAGCGCGCCGGAATAAACGTTAGTCACGTAATGGCTGTTTGCTTGAAGGAGTCGCGTGCCAGTAGACGGAGTGGCGGAAAACACCGCACAACATCCGTCTCCCCCCCCCCCCTCCCTGAGCGACCTGGGTCACGGGCTGAGGCATCACAGACGGACAGACTGGCAGGCAGGCAGACAGACAGACAGACAGACAGAGACTGAAGGCGGGGCTGAGTATGTGTATTGGAGCCGGCTGCCGACGCCGGCTCACTCTCTGCACTGGACGGCTGGCTATGTACAGGGGCTCGGCCGGAGCCCTCACAGACGCCTCGGATTGGTCCTCTGAACGGCGCGCCTGCGGCCACGCACAACAATGCCCTCGGAATCTGAGAAATTTCCCTCACCTTTCCCGCGCCAGATGAGATCAGACATGTACACCGGCCAGTCAACAGGCGGCCGTCTCAAAAGTTCGAACAACTGAGCCCAGTAAAAATGCCCTTCGGCTACGTAACAAAACTGCACAGAAAAGGTCGCGACCGGTCGCACGAAAAGGCTTCCGGAACTGTCCGCGTCGCGCTGTAAAACCCCAATATGTACAATTGTGAGACGGCCGGCTGACGTGAGGCGGACGGCCGGTCTCAGCTACATCACCTGATAGTGAACTCGCCAGGGTTTCAAACTCGCCGTCTCGTGCGCGCACGAAGACTAAAATTGATCTCTTGAAAGCCTCTTACCAAGGCACCCAATCAAGACGGCGCCCGGCCTGGGGGAGAGTGCGCCGGCCGCGGACAAGCGCAACAGGAGCGGGGACAAACGGACACCGGGCACGAACAGGCTGACGGACAGAGACACGGAGGGTCGGCCGGGCGCGGCCGCCCCGGCCGCAATCAGTACCGCTTCCGCTTGAGGTAGGTCTCGGCGTAGTGTCCACCCAGGCCCTGCGAGTGCTGGCCGATGAAGTCGGTCTCCGGTGACGGCTCAGGCGAGGGCAGCAGGTGGTGGTACTTGCGCTTCTGGCCCTGCGGCGTGACAGGCGAGCCGCCGATCGAGAACACGGGCGACGACGGCGGCGCCGCCGACACGGCCGCCTTGGCCTGGGCGTTCTGCAGCGCCTGCAGCAGCGAGCCCACGTACTGGGTCGAGTCCTCTGCCGGCGGCGTGGGCGGCAGCGCCAGCGAGGGCACCGAGCCGGCCGCCGCTGCCGCCGCCTTCTGGCCGTTCATGAGCGCCAGCAGCTGGTTCAGGCCCTGCGCCTTGCTCATCAGCGAGGAGATGGTGTTCTGCAGCTCGTCACTCATCTGGCTGACCGGGTCGGCGGCCGAGACGGGCAGCGGCGGCGGCGGCGCCATCAGCTGCGGCGGCGGCGGCAGCAGCAGCGGCGAGCTGGCCACGGAGACCGGCGGCGGCAGCAGCTGGCCGGGCGCGAACCCGCCCGGCAGCAGGCCCGCCAGCCCGGGCACGTAGTACTGCAACAGACACACGGCGGGACGTCAGACGGGGGTAGGTGTTTCAGTGCGGCGGGTCGGTGGGGTGGGGTGGGCGTCTCAGTGCAGCGGCTAGGGCGACTGTGGGTGTTCCCACCGGGTTTCTGTGGCGGTGTGTACCAGCGGGTCCCCGGGCCACTGCGGGTGTTCCGGAGGGTCAGCTGTCGGTGGGTGTTCCAGGGGGTCAGCTGTCTGTGGGTGTTCCAGCGGGCCCCCCGGACAGCGGTGGGCGTCCCTGCAGGGCGGGCGCCAGCTGAACCAGCGCCACCTGACGTCACAGCCGCCCGTCAGCCGGTTAGTTATCGTTAGCCCGTCAGGCCGGCCGGTACGAAAACAGCACCGACACGGGCCGCGCGGCAGAAACGGGCACCCGAGGAGCTGTTTTCCCTAGCGGCGATAGTTCAGAGTTCAGACGAGCCATTGTTCCGTCCGACCGAACCCCGCCCCGCTCTGACGGATGGCGTCGCACGCTAATTTCGGCCGGTGATAATTGATGTTATGTTCCCGGCGGCCACAATCTGCGGTCGTTAGTTCGCGCGCGATTAATTGCAACTTCCAAAGGCAAGTTCCAAACATTAATCAAAGCACATCTCGAGCCCAGGTGTTTGCTGAATTCATTCTCGCGGATAAATTTAGATTGAAATGAATCAAACGGGCGAGCCTCACTAATTCCTCAAACGGTGTCTACAGCGCCGCGCGGCCTTTTGAGCGCGCTCGGCTGAGTCGATTTCCGGACCAGCTGGTGCGTGCCTCGTTGCCATTACGGCCGTTTCCTTTCTGCGTGGGTGCTCGCCGACGCACCCTCCCTCCCCGGCTGAGCCCGGGCCGCCCGACGCGGGCCGACGTTCCGCAGCGCTCTGGCTACAGAGCTAATCCAGCGGCGGCCGGCCGGGCTCGGATCGGTCCGTCGGCCGGCCGAGCGGAGCGCTCATTAACTGCTCGGTGTCACCGGGCTGAGCCGGGCCGCGGACCCGGCGGTCCGACACGCGCCCGTTACACCGGGCAGCGACAGATAGAGCCGGGCCAACGCTAATCCCGATCGGCGCCGACGGGCGCGTGGGTCCGTCCGAGGGCACCCGGGGGAGTGGGTGACCTGCTGAGGTCAGGCCGCGGGCACCCTGGGGAGGAGGTGACCAGCAGAGGTCAGGCCTGGGGCACCAGGGGAGGGGTGACCTGCAGAGGTCAGGTCGGGGAATTCGGACCAGACTCCAGCGGTACGCTGATCACGCCCAGTGCATTTCATTAACCGGCAAGGCTGCAATCAGCCCGTCATTTGATTACGGAGCCGCGCCGCACAGCGCCGATATCTTATGCACAGCGTCGCGGCTGCAATTAGGGTCTGGCATCACAACATGCGGCAATAACTCGGTAGTAAAAGGGGCTGGCGCTGCTAATCTCTCTGCGCGCCACGACAACACATCAGGCTCCGACTCCGGCTCCGGCTCGGGAGCCGATCTGCGCCGCTGAGCCGCTCGCAGCCGACTTGTGACAGATTAATGCACTACAAATCAATAGCCGAGCCGGCGTGCCGTAATCGGGCGGCGAGGCCCGGGACGGGCCGGTACGTACCTGAGGAGCCATGGCTCGGAGGGCGCCGGGCGGCGGCGGCGGCGGCATCAGGCCCACCATACTGGCCGGGAACACCATCGGCTGGCCGAACATGGCTGGCGAGACGGGCGGCGCGGCGGCCGGCGCCGGCGGCGGGGGCGGCGGCGGCCGGGTGGGCGCCGCGCTGACCACCACTGGCGGCGGAGGCGGCGCTGCGTACCCGCTCTGCGCCATCTCCTGCTGCAGCTCAGAGATCTGCGAGGTGACGATGTTCTGCAGGTTCTGCGCGAACGCCGGGTTCTGCTGGCTGAGGTTCTTCATCTGCTGGTAGACGGCGGGCGCCGGCGGGTCGGGCAGCAGCGCCGAGCGGCCGCGCGGGGCCGCCGACTCGTTGAGCAGCCGCATGTAGATGTCGATGGCGCGCACGCCCGGCATGCAGAAGTGCACCTGGAGCCGGCTGCCGCGCAGCTGGTGGCCCTGCATCTGCTGCCAGGTCTTCTCGGCCACATCTGCCGACATGAACTCGACCAGACCCCAGTCCTGCGGCGAGCCGTTCTTCAGCGCGATCTGCCGGGCGGGCGGGCATAGGATCAGTCAGATTCGGGTCACGGCGGGTCATACACACCGGTTACGTTCAGACCACAGCTCCAGGGCAGGGTGTGTGTGGGGGAGGGTGGGGTGCAGGGACCGGCTATAAATATAGCTGAAATCAGCGGTCGCGAACAGCTGCACTGTCGATCACTGAGGAAATCAGACACTGTGTATTTACTCAAGCGAACCAAGTCATTGCTCAAACAGGCTATTTGTTTATCTTAGCGTCCGTTATGACTGAATAAAACACGCCGGCGGGTGTGGAGTTCCCACAGGAAATTCGCGTAATGAAACCGCCTGTTCGCCGCCGTTTGGCCTGTGCCCAAGGGCCAGTCAGTGACGGATTAGTCTCGGAACTGAGAGGACCCATTCTGCCCGCCACCCACGCCGCTGGGACTGTTCCCGGCCCGCCGGCAAACGCTGCGGACCAGCGCGTCAGTGAGGCTGGATGAGGGACCTGCCGCTGCCGCCTACTGCTCGGCCGACCGCCAGTCCCCGGCGGGTGCGCGAAGTTCAGCGGCAGGCGGCTGTCTTCATCCCGCCCGGGGCACCGTTTATCATCGTGCAATTGATACAGGCGCGTCGAAAAGGTCGGTGGCGGCGGGCCAAATTAGCGGGGCGGACAATCGATCGGCGGGTCAGCTGGTGGGCAGCTGGCCGGCGCCGCACAGTCCGACAGCGGGGCGCAGGGCGCGCCTCAGGGGTATCGGTGACCGGGCCCGACCGACGCCAGGGCCCGCCGGCCGCCTATCGCGGACAAACAAGGAGCGGTGAGCGCTCCGGCAGACCGGACGGTATCAGCGGCCGGCCGGCCTGCAGAGGTGCCTACCGAGTGCCATGGTCGGGGCGGGGCTGCACGTGGTCGCATGGGGGAATAATCAGCACGTGGTGCATGGTGATGTCACGATACGCCGTAGGAGGCCGTGACGGCACTGAGCGGAAACCGACGAGCCGAGCCGGCCGGCCGGCTGGCTCCGCCACGGCCCCATTCCCGCTGCACACATCGCCACTGAGCGAAATGCAAGAGCCGGAACGGCCGAGATGGGACGGATGAAGTCGGCCATCCGAGCGGCAAACGCCGTACCGCACTCAGGCTAACAGCGCCGTAAGGAGGCCGTACGGAGCGGCACGGCCGGCCGCTGCACCCCCAGACGCCGCCGGCGCGCCGCTCAAACAGAGGCCCAATCAGCCAAATAGCCGGGACAGGGCGGCCGCGGACCGGGGTAGTTCGCAGCGGCGCTGTGTGCAGCGTCCTCCTCCGCCGGCGGCCCGGCCCGGCCCGGTCCATCGCCGCTAAGTGATGGCGTCTGTCGGTGTCGATAACGGGAACAGGACGGCCGATGTATTCCGACCGCGCCCCGCCGCTGTGTCGGAGAGCGGCTCGACCGTCGGCCGCGGCGCTCCAAGGCGAGATAACTGAAGGCGACTG